AGCGCGGTATATGGCGCACGCACTCGCAGGCATTTTTGCGGTGGCTGCTGATCTGCGTAGTAGTTGAGCGCGCAGCGGGCAGATCTGATCACATACCCGCCATACCTCCTTTTCAGAAGCAAGCGTGAGGCAGTCGCTGGGTGCCCGCTCATGTTTTCGACATGTCGCCGCCAGGCGCATTCTGACATTGTGTCGGCATAGTTGTCGGCGGCCAGTCGAGTGGGTGAGGGCGTGTGTGCATGTGCATTACGGAGGATCAGTGGTTCGCTCCATCCCCGGATGGGAAGAGGGATAGAAAAACGAGCGGCCTAAACCACCTACGCCCCGAGCCCCGAGCCGGGATTCCCACCCCTACTGTTACCTACCTTGCGGAGCGCCGTGGCTGCTCGTGGTCACAAGACGATTCAGAGATGCCGGCTCCAGACTTTGACGCTGACGATGGGCGCGACTTGATGTGGGGGGGCGAGAAGTGAGGGGCAGCGGGGGCTGCAGAAAAGGGGCCCTGCAGGGCCCCTGAAGGAGCCCTTTCGGGCCCAGACTGGGCCTTCCAGGGCACCTTTCTCCCCCCCCCATTTATCGCCCCCCATTAATTCGCCCCCAATGACCGTCACCTCACGCACTTGTCGGTTCCCATCTAGCACGGGACGACAACATTCTAGGCCTTCCGGATGGGGTCCGAGTAGATGGGGTCGGAGGATCGCGCCGCATCGCCGATGCATCGACGATACGTGTCGATGCGGAGCCCGATTTGCTTCACGCCGACGTCGCCGATGCATCGCCAGCGTCGCTGGTGCACCGCCAGTGCATCGCCGATGCATCGGCGATGCCTTGGAGATGCGGCGCGATCCTGCGACCCCACCTGCTCCGACCCCGTCCAGGCGGCATATAAACATGCCGGGCCACAGAGCTTCTGTCGCAGAGTGCAGTCTGGAGACCCTCCCCCTCCTCCTCCTCCTCCTCCTCCTCCTCCTCCTCCTCCTCCTCCTCCCCCTCCTCCTCCTCCTCCTCCTCCTCCCCCTCCTCCTCCTCCTCCTCCCTCCTCCTCTCGCCCCTCCCCCTCCTCCCCTCCTCCCCCTCCTCCTCCTCCTCTCCTCCTCCTCCTCCTCCTCCCCCTCCTCCTCCTCCTCCTCCTCCTCCTCCTCCTCCTCCTCCTCCCTCCTCCTCCTCCTCCTCCTCCTCCTCCTCCTCCTCCTCCTCCTCCTCCTCCTCCTCCTCCTCCTCCTCCTCCTCCTCCTCCTCCTCCTCCTCCTCCTCCTCCTCCCCCCCGCCCTCCTCTCATGGGGCCCCCGCGGATCAACCCGTCTCTGCGGCCACCTGCGGGCCCTGCCCCCCCAGTGGGCCCCCGCCGGCTCCCGGGGCATCGGATGCCCCCGCGGGGGTTCGCCTGGCTGCGGACGCCTCTCCGGTCCTGGACTGCTGCAGCAGGCTGCACAGAGGTCCGACCTACAGTGATAGGCCCACACGTGGTTTTGGAATGCAATAAACCAGGCTGGTTTTTGGAATGCAAAAAAAAAAAACGCACGTGGTTTTTGTAAATGCTAAGACCAGTCTTTTGAACTCGAAAACCAGGCTTGCCCAGTCCGGCGAGCCCCATTTGGAGGGGGGGGCGAGACCTCCAGAGCCACGTGGTCCGCTGCCGCCTGCCGGAGGTGCTCGCTGCCACCCCGCGCAACGCCGGGGCTCGACCTATGTGGCCACCTGCCTGCCTCGCGTCCCAGGCGAGACGCCGGCTCTGCGAGCGCGGCCACAAGACGCAGATCTATACGTCTCAGTCCCCAAAGCAGTGCCTGCACTTTTGGGGCTTCGTACTTCCGCTCCGAGAAGCTGGGCCGTGTCGTCGCTCGGCGAGGCCAGCGCCAGGACATCTGGGCCATCGAGTGGCACAAGTATTGGATCATCTCGCGAATGCAAAAGCGCACAAGGAATGGACGTCCGAGCGATGACAAGGAAGCCTTTGCCCTTCAAGATGGCTCCAAGACGGCTGAAGATGGCTTCGAGACAGCCTCCAGGCCGCCAGGACGGCCCCAGCCAGCTCCAGATGGCCCCAAGACGGCCTCAACAGGCCACCAAGGGGCTCCCACGAGGCGTCGAAGAGACCCCCTGGTCGGAGTCCCTCCTATACGCTATACACGAGGCTCGAAGATCTGCAGAACCTGAGCGCGCGCGCGAGGCGCGCGCGCGATGGTTCTAGCAGCTTCCCCCCAAACACTGCTTGCACCTGGGGGGCTCTTTACTTCTGTCCTGAGGCGCTGGGGCCGTGTCTTCGGTCTGGCGGCCACGTGGCCGCTCGTCGCCGCCCCGTCGCCGCCGCGTCGCCGCCCAGCGCCTGGGCCTGTCTTCGATCTGGCGGCCATGGGGCCGCTCGTCGCCGCCTCGTCGCTGCTCCTCGTCTGGGCCGCGGTGTGTCGGTCTGGCGGCTGTGCGGCCGCCGTTGCCGCCTCGTCGCCGCCTCGTCGCCGCCTCGTCGTCTGGCATCGTCTGGAAGGAAGTTCGAGCACCAAGAGCGCACCGAGACTGGAGGGTGCTCTCGTGCCGGGCTCTGGGAGGCGATACTCGTTCGACACCGTCTCGATACTTCCCTGGGTGCTCGAGATGATTTCCGCCATTCGGTCTTTGTAGCGCGATGGGATCGACCTACGACTCGTGGGGATCTGGGCTAGATGACCGCAATCATCCGGCGAATTGTTGTGCAATTGCGGCGTTGCTTCTCGATCTCGTTTGCCGTGGGTGGTGGTACCCCCGTGCCCCAGGGCCGTCAAAGATGCCTCCAGGAGACATCACAAGTTGCCTTGCCCACCCCACACTAAGGGGTCGGGTGATCTGGGCCCGCATCGGGAAAACGTGCTGCCGCAGTTCTGGGATCAGCCCAGAGATCCGAAGACCCGGAAACATAGGAATCGCGGGTTTGGGGCTGTTTTCGGCCTCAGGGGGCCCTCGCCGGGCATCGGGACCGTTAAATAACGCTTCAGCGCGGAAAACCGGCCCTAGGGAAGTGGTCCAGACCTCCGGGGCCCACGCATCACAAACATTGGAGCGACCGGACGTCTGGCCAGGGCTTCTGGGAGATCATGGTTCGAGGCTATAGGTGTCTTCGCGCGTTTTGAAACCGTTTCGGGCCTCCGAGGGGGCCTCTCCTCCATTGGGCTCTTTTGAATGCCGCTCCGAAGGATGCCGACCAAGAGGCATTCCGAGACACAGCCAGTCTGGCATTTCAGGCAAACAAAAATCTGCAGACGAACGCGAACTAGAGGATTTGTTAGCTGATGGCTTGCCCTGCAAAACATCTCGCCCATTGGGTTCTTCTCCAGGTTCTGGTCAGAACGTCTCCCCTCCGGAGAGGTCCGACACCATTTTCCAGGGGAGGGAGCCCAAACCTTCTCCGCCCCTCCGCGCCGCAGAAAAGCCGCAACGGGAGGTCCGTTGTAGTTCTGTTTCTGGGGACCGAATGAAAATCAGTTATGTCTCCCTCTTCTCAGTCAGCCTTGGCCTTCGAGCGTCCACGAGTCTGTGGGCGAACTGCCCCTGACCCAGACATCGGGAGGGTCGCGCCGCGCCATTGGCTTCGCGCCCCCGGGCGGGGGAGGGAAAAGGGAGGAAGAGCAGGAAGGGCAAGGCAGGAACAGGAAGAGCAGGAGGGCTTGTGGGAGCCCCATGCGGTCGAAGAGCAACATTCGACGTGCACATGAAACTTTCGGAGGCCCGTGCTGATCTCGGGTTTCTCGGATCGGCGCTGGACCCCCCTGGCGGCGCCTCCGGCGCCGCCCCTGGCGTGCTCCGCCCGCCAGGGTGGGGGGTCAAGCGTCGATCCAAAAAAGCGGCGCGGACCTCCGAAGGTTTACGTGCATGCGATTTCTCCGTCCTCGTACTGCAGGGCCCGAGGACCGTCAAGACACTACTCGAGCCGGTGCTGGGGTAAAGGGTTTTGACCTCACGGGGGCCAGCTCGTTTCACACAAGCAAGAACACGCAACAAAGACAACAGCAACCACAACAACAACAACCACCACCACCATCAACAATAATAACAGCAACAGCAACAACAGCAACAGCAGCAATAACAGCAGCACCAGCAACAACACCATCAACATCAGCGACAGCAGCGACAGCGACAAAAGCAACAACAGCAACTACAGCAGCAACAACAACAACAACAGCAACTACATCAACAACAACAACAACAACAGCAACAACAACAACAACAACTACAGCAACAACAACAACAACAACAACAACAGCAGCAGCAGCAGCAGCAGCAGCAACGACAATGGCGTCGGGGCGGGCGGGTTTCGGGGGCACGCGCGCGGGTGCCTGCAGGCTCTCATTCCCCGGAGGCGTCGCCCGCGCACCCCGCGCTCCCCGCGCCCGCCCTCCGATCGCCGCAGGCCCCCGGGGTGCTTCCGGGGTCGGCGCCCCTCGGGGGCATGCGCGGGCGCCTGGCCAGGTCCGGGGCCCCGGGAAGCACCCCCGCCTCGTAGAAGCTCGTTCGGGGGACCTTCCTGGCGCCCACCTGACGGATCTGTGAGACTCCAGTTCGGATGTTGTTCGGATGCGTTTCGACTCTAGCTCTACACGTTGCCTGCAATCCTCTGTTCCTCCTGCCCCCCCTTCGTCCTCCATGTCTAGTCATAACTCGTTCTGGTGGTTGCCAATGCTGCATCGCACATGGCCCACGCGTCCCTCTGAAAGCTCGGCCGTGGTGGTGGTCGTGGCTACTTCGACTCTAGCTCGACTCAACCTCGACTCAGGGTCGGCCCAAGGCGACGGACGTTCGACACAGCGTCGGCGCATGCGTGGAGCGAGTTGCTCCAGGACAGTCCCCAGAACGAGCATCTAACCCTCGCGATCCACCCTAGCGTCTAACCCTCCGCGCGCCGCCGACGTCGAGCGAGCACCCCCGCGCGCGCGCGCACGAGCTTCCCGGGTCCTTTCCTAGTTTTTGCGGCTCGAGGGGGCCAGCCGCGTTGCGGGGCTGGGCGCCCTTGGGATGCGCGCCACGAGGCG